CTGCCAGGTAGTGAATAAAATCTATTATTCTTCTTGATTTCTAATCGTACTGGCAAAATCTGTGTCTTTGTGTAAGACTTATCAACGCAATGAATTGGCTCCTCCAGGATAATCCCTTCATTTTCTTCTGAAAGAGTTAGTTATAGCTGGCTTATGAGCCTTGTAAGTATGAATCTTCTCTGCCAGTACTGGTCAGGATCAGAAATTGTAGTGTTTTCCAGGCTGTGTTCCAGGAGACATCCCTGAGAATCCCACCTGAGCAATCCTACGCACACAGCAGGGGTTCATCTGTTCACAGACATCTCAGAAATACTCATTCTTTGTTCTGTTTTTACAGTAGGTTTGCAACCCCCACAAAGAAGAGGAAATAATGCAAAGCAGGGATGATACAGTGCTGGCTGAATATACACTGCACTCTGAATATCAGCTTTCCAGCAAGCCAGCTGCCCCAGGCAGTCAGCAATCACCGCTTGACGTGCACCCAGCACACGCAGGCGAACGCGCTGGGCTCAGCCCATCCCTCTCCATACAAATCTACTCTACTAGGTGGTACTCACTTAAATACTCCACAAGTATTTGAGAGGATGCTGTGAGCCCCTTTAAATGTGCCCCTCCACCCCTCGCTCATTTGCTCCATTTTAAATTTTGTTATTATGAGGGGGAGCAGATAGAAGCATAGTGTCTAGAGCAGGCTATAGGATCAACCCACTAGAAAATCAGAGTCATGCTCTTTTTGCCTCACGCTGCTTTCCCTCATGATCTTTCCAAATCCAATCCTATCTGAAGGTAGTGACTCGCACTACTTTTATTGAGCCACACTAATTCCTCTGCTGTTCAAAACAAGTGCTGGAAAACATGCATGTTCAGGAAGGTACACACACAAACTGAAAGTTATATTCTCAAAAGCACATTAAATTAATTAAAAGGAGTCTATCTTATATGTACTGTAGTTTTTAGAGACAATTCATATCATATTCATCAATGTTGTCTAAACAGAGACACAGGGCTTATGTCTGATATTTAGCTACTTTGGAAATTTGATCTCAAACTTGAAGTCAAAACTTCAAGTTAGTTATGTAAGTTTGTGCACAATCTTATCTGACACTGAGATTTTATACTAACATAAAACTAATGACAAACCATATTCAGAATCTCCTGTGACACTGAAACTTGACCTGTGAAAACAGTATTTCTGTGGTGCTATCTCCTACAGACCACTGGACTGGCGGGATGTTAAGCCACAGTTTACACCAGAAGATTGCAAAATATCAAATGACAAAAAAAAATGACTTCCCACTCAGTAATAATGTGCAATGCCCTTTTCCAGTACCAAAGGCATGATGTGGTGTGTAAGCTGAAAATCTACTGCCTGAAAATGGCCAGAGCACATCGTGATCTCGCAAAGCAGTGCCCACACCAAGCTCTACTTCCCAACAAAACTGCAGTCAATGTTTCATAGAAAGCTAGAGCACCCGCACGAAGGTGGGGTCCAACTGGTTGCAATTATCATCTACTATAATGTTTGCTCTAAGCCATTTTGAAGACCTTCTCTCTCCTTTACAGCTCTAACATGGCTATTAATCAGGAAGTAGAGTTTTGGAAGCGAGAAATACACAATACAGATTTCTGGCCACTTTCCTAACACCTACTGTCGACTGATTCCCCAAAACCTTTTCAGATTAATCATTTTTCTCCCTGGCTTCATACAAACGAGCTTAACTGACTCGCACTGGTTTCCTCAAAAGGTTTGTGCCTTCTGCATGACCGTAGTCCAAACTGCCACGCATGTTTCAGAGGAGAAATGGTTAAATGTAAGATGCCCCGAAGCTCTCTCAGCTGCTGAGTTTCCTGACAGGATACCAATACTTCAATTTCAAGATCACCATTTCATACTTTACCATTTGCTCACTGATCACGACAGCTTAATGCAAAAGCAAATTAAATTATTAATGAAATCTACAGTGACAGTCTAAAGCAGATGTACAGAAACACACAATACACACAAAAGAAATCCACACCTTCCATTTATCTCACAAGCAACTTCAAAAGACTTCTCCCTCTATTCAACTGGCAAGCTGCTAATTTCCTATCTAAGGCTTTACAAATGTTTTTTCCCTCATATCTAAGTTTGCTTAGGAAGTTTCAGCTCTGTCTCTGGCTGTTTTCTTCCTCCTCCTCCTCCTCCTCCTCCTCAGTGGTGACATTCTGTAGGATCATCTCATAAATCCCATCACTGGAGTAACGTGATTTTTTTTTCTTAAACTTTTCCTACAATTATTTATAACCATTTCAATCTTCTGGCTCACAGCATGGATCAACAGTAGCATTGGCACAAGCAGATTTAGGAGCATAAGAACTTGTGCCAAATGGGCAGAAAAGGAATCATTACTTTGTACAACTCATTTTCTGTTGACTGATTGAGCTCAGACAGATACGGGATAAGTCACCTGCTTGTAAAGAGGGAGGGAATTGAGGTGGGAAGGGCAATCCTGCCATCCATTGAACTGATAAACAATAGCTGGATCAGCTTGCTAGTAGTACAATACATACAGCAAACTGTATCCTCTGTCCTTCAGCATATGCAGCACCTTCACCTTCAGGTCACATTCACAAGAAAGAATTCTTTATTTGGTAACATAAAGAAAACACTTGCATCACAGTTAGTGCCTGTGGTTTAAATAAACACAAAGGAAAAATATAGTCCTGCATGCAAGAATAAATATCCTCTCTTCTGTCTGACTGGTTAGCATCATATCTCAGCCTGTTCAGATTGTCACATTTGGTCATATTGTATGTTTGAAATATGAAGTTTATGCATACTTCATGAAATCAAACACAGAATTAATATTCACAACAAAGGAACCCCACAAAAAGTTACCAGTCTAGGATAAAAAGAAGATGAAGCGACCATAGTCAACTCCAAAAGACACCAGGAATATTTATTTTCACGACACAGGGAAATAATGTTAGAAGTGTACGTGATTTTTTCTGAAGTTCAAAAGATTCCTTATACATCGAGAGACTACAGCTCCAGGAAATGCCTCTTGAAAAAGATAGTGGGAGAAAATACATAAAATGCTCCCAGGCAAGGTTATTGAGAAATAACCTTTTAATACAGACATCATTTACTTGAAGAAGAAAAAGAGAAAAGGCATTTCTGCTTTAGGACTCTTAGGCTACCATGACTGTATTCATTAGATAAGACTTTTCCATGACTTCATATGTGTTAAGTGCTGTAGGTGAGCACATGTTGCAGACAGGACAGACAAGACTTCACAGTGACAGTGGAACTTCAGGTTCAGGACAGTGGTACTGTCAGGTACTTCTCTAAACTGCAACTTACTCTAATTACAGTATTAGTCAAGTTTAACTTACACAGGGCATGGCCGTGCACAACTGAAGAACGCATTCACACTATTTTTAAGCAGCTAAATTTCTATCCGAACTTACCCGCATAATTCTAAATTTAATATATCACATGAACGTTTCAATTCCCAATAGAAGACGCAGCAGCACAGCCCACAGTCCCTATGGAAACCATTGAGCAGAAGTGTGACCGAGCACTGTCACCCACAGTGAGAACACTTGGGGAAGGTCTGTCCAACTCCTCATGAACTTGGAGTGTCTCCTATGTTGGCATCCACGTATCCCTTCCCCATCTTGCAGTTGTATCATCTTATTACAACCTTATCAAATGCTTCTCTATTCAAACGCATACATCCCACCTCACTATATAATGTTTCTGCACTATGGCTATCTTTATGTAATCCTGACTAAAATAAAAACAAAAAATTGCAGAGTACAGTAAATAAAGTTATATAAAATGGCTAATGGAAATGGCTATGCAAAAATTACAAACAGGTGTTTGGTATAGAAACCATGGCAAGCACTCTTTACCTTACTTGTACCAAAAGACACAGCTTACGTTGTTGAAACAATCTCAATTTTTGAGCAGCTATGTTTTCAAATATAAAAACAGTAAGCAAAAGCTATTCTGTTCAGTTTTAATTATGTTCTCTAACAACTTGCTTTTATATTTAGTTTATGAACACTCACAAGTCTTGAGTAGGCAGCCAACCCACCTTTTCCTCTCCATCCTTGGGTAGTTTGCTCATTCCCCTGTCACTGTGGATATTTTGTCCTAGTCCTAAACAAACCCGAATTATTGAAGTACTGAAATTAAACTTTAAATTAATTACATGTTAATGCTGAATTCTTCCATTTAGCACTCTTTGCTGTGACAATATGATTTCATAACACTATTGCCTGAAACTTTAGAAGGAACTACAGGCAGTAACACATTTCTCTTCCCACTCTGGCACTGATTTGTGCTCTCGAACACTGATTGCGTTCAAGAATTTGGTGTTCTTGAAAACCCCAGACACAGCACAAATAATTAGCACTTTATGGCCTTCTGAGAGAGCTGGGCCTGTTCAGCCTGAAGAAGAGAAGTCTGAGCAGTGACCTGATCAGTGTCTATAAATACCTCAAGGGAGGCAGTGAGGAGGAGGGGGCGGCCTCTTTTCAGTGGTGGCCAGCGACAGGACTAGAGGAAATGGCCACAAGCTGAGGCACCAAAAGTTCCACAGGAACTTAAGGAAACATTTCTTAACAGTGAGGGTGACAGAGCCCTGGCACAGGCTGCCCAGGGAGGTTGTGGAGTCTCCTTCTTTGGAGATCCTCAAAATCCGCTTGGATGCAGCCCTGTGCCATGTGCTCTAGGTGACCCTGCGTGTGCAGGGGGGTTGGACTAGATGATCTCTAGAGGTCCCTTCCAACCTTAAGCATTCTGTGATTCTATCCACTAAAAGAAAAGGTAACATTCTAACCAGGATCAGTGTATGTAAAGTAAGCTCTAAGTCTTTACACAGAAGTAATTATCCCAAAACACACAAGAAATGCCTTTTTCATAGCAAGTAAGAGTACAAAAGGTACAGCACACTATCCGCTTATTTGTTTTGCAAGGCTCTATAATGGCAGAGCCCTTTTTATTTTATTACCTTTTGTGCAGCAAGATGGAGAGCAGTCCTTTGGCTGCGATCAGCCCTGTTAACATCTGCTCCTGCCTTCAGCAAGGCCTCGGCGCAGTCCAGCCGGTCGGCCAGCACGCAGTACATAAGCGGAGTTCTTCCAAACTGGTCCTCCTTATCTTTCAGCTCAGAGTTTCCTAATAAAATAAAATAAAATAAATAATTAAATCTCTCAGTATGTGGAGGAGTATTCCTGTTATTAAAAGGGAAATTCATAAATGATTAGGGTGATCAAAGTAATGGAGTACAGCCCATAGACTCCACAACTACACCTACAAGTACAGGTGTATTTCTGCAATGACACAATTATGTATCATTTAAAAATTGTTAGAGAGAATTGGGTTGCAAAGATTACTTAAAAGAACACCAACAGCAAGTAAATGAAGTTGTCTTCCTAAAAGCTATAAATACTGTATCTGAAACAAGTTTTGAAATCACTCACTGCAATGTTTAATTAAAAAGCATAAAGACATCAATAGCCCGTCAATATCATTATTTACTTCAGAGTGCCTGATAATAAGGAAACTAATAAAATAGTTAAGCAGCTTTCTTGGATTTATATGATTATATGGAACTTCTTCTAGACTTTCACAATATTACAGGGTTTCTTTTGCAAACTAGTTGTAGTGCCAAGATAATTTTTTCCTCTGCTATTAAGAAAAAAAAAAAAAGTTGTAGTTACATATTCCGAAACAGTGATGTCTTATGTCTCAATATTTTAGCTAAGAATAAATGCTCTTAATAAACGAATATCTTTGCTGCTCATTAAAGCATGGTGCAGAACATCAAAGCCAATTATGAACAATGTAGCTCTGTACAGCAGTATGGAGTTACTGTGGTCCAAAGCAAAAATATAATTTAACACAGCAATGATCTTAGCTAATAAGCCAGTTTCCCTAATAAACTATATATAGCCATGTGTTTTATCAGCATTAGTTCAGTCAGCAACAATTCAGGCATCTCCAAAGCACATCCACTGTCCTGCGTTAACACAGCTTAAAACGCAGCTTCCATTTGGTGCAGATCAGAGGACCTGGGCTTTTACATATACTTTTAAGAAATACAGAAACACAAAGCTCTACCAACAACCTTCCTGTACACGGCTTAGCCTCCAAAGACACCTGCTCTTAGATGAGCACTTTTCACATTGGTCCCTCTCCTTCAAATTCCAGGTTGCTTCTCTGTTTTATGCAGCTCTACAGACTAAAAGAAAGAAGTGGGCACAGAATCACACTAGCAAATACGACCTAAAGGAAGAGTGCAGCTCTAGCTAGTTATGGACATTGTTTTCTTCTCCAGCTCATAGAGAGCCATGTAGCTGATGAATGAAAAACACCTTCCATGGCTGCATACAGTCTGAGGCAAAAATGAGGCAAGACCTTTAAAGCTCAACAGCAGCAATTTGCCTGAGGTTGCTGCACTGCTTTTTAAGGTAAATATAAATATATATATTTACCTTAAAAATATATATATATGTGTGTGTGTGTGTGTGTGTGTGTATACACACACACACACATATATATACATATATATATACACATACACACATATATATATATGTTTTTCACCTAGCAGAAGGTTTCTTCTTTTTCATTCTGGCTGTTTAAAGGTCTCTCTATGATTTGAGTCCTGAAGGTACTTCACAAAAAAGCATTTCTGTGGTGATGTTCAACTTGAGAGAAAGAACGAGGAGACACTGTATCACTATCTGATGCTAAATGAGACAAAGTTCAGGAAATGTACGAACTACAAAAACTTGTGGACATAACAGTAAAATCAATTACTGTTTTCTGGAATCAATAAAGCACAGATAACCTTTTAAACATTCAAAAATGAAGTAATTTATAAATCTTAGAACTCAGAAGACTAATGTGCTATAGCAAGTAATCTACTATTCAATTCAGACATGAATTGTACACTGATGTACCTAAAATGTGCCACTGCAAAATTAAATTCTATTTGACATCCCAGGCAAAGAAACAAACTGTCTGATCTCTCCACTTTCAGGATAAACCTTCTCCCTCTCACAGATTACATAGGCCATGAATATCACAGAGTCAATTCTGAAATATCATTCGTACATTCAGACTTCTCCACTCCAACACAATCTTCAAATACTCTTACATCAGATTGTGTAACATATCTATGCATTGTTATACCAAAAAGGGGACTGTAAAAGTGGAAGGAGGACCTGAATCTTCCTTAGTTGTGAAAAAGCACCTCTTGTTACTTGTAGAGTGTCTTGCCTTTTATAATTCATCATCTAAGTTTTATTCAACCTGCAGCACTGCAGAGTAAGGAAGTGAGAAGCAGAGGAGGATCAAACAGAAGCAAATATCTCTATACTTGCATTCCAGAACTGTTAGTCAATATTAAAAACAAAACATCATCCTGGACATTTCAAAAGCATTTGGATCTCTGTGGTAGATAATAATGGTTTTAAAATGAGGAGTTGGCCTGAATGGACACTTCGGTATAATGGTTATTACACACATTTCTGTGTTCTTGTAATGAGACTTTGCATGCTCCTTAAAAGCAATAACATGCATCTCCCCTAAACTATACATGAAAACTTGAAATGCAAAATGATCCTCCAACCAAAAATGAACTTATGTTGCCTTTTTTCCAAGGATTATAATCACGTAGATGGGTTTTAACACTAACAAAACTGATAACAAAACTGACATGTTCGGTGTTGCATGAAAACACGGGAAACTTGACGCTCTGAGCACACCAAAAAGCCTTACATTGCACGATGCTGAAAAAAATGTGATATAGACACAGGCAACTCGTGCAATGTAAACTATTAGCATGTATTTGTTCAAACCTGGATCACACAAAACACACATGGTACATACTGTGTTTTAATCCATAGGCTGTCAAAAAGGCCCGACAGTGGTTAAGAAACAAAACCACAAGCTTATTCCACAAACCCCTTTCTCGCTAGAAATTGTTCCTTTTACCTTTAGTTCTATTTGGGCATCTGACGAGGTACAGGTTGTCAAAGGAAGGCAGTATCTGGGACACATTCTACTGTTTTGAACATCTGTGCTCCTTTAAAATTAAAAGCTAGCAGAAGGGAAGATTACACATGTCCATATAAATTCACTATGCAGAAATGCAATGTATGTATTTGCATACATTCATGCAGGCCTCATCAAGCTAAGTAGCTGAAAAATGGAGTAACTGGCAAACGGGCTAGAGGGGCTTCTATTTTCCTAGAAACTGATTAACCAGATCCCTTTACCCCACCATTAATATGTTCTCCTTAAATAGGGAAAACTCAAAGGGGAACATATTAATGAATTCAGAGGGAAAAGACCTCCCTAAAAGAAGTGGAAAGTGAGATTTTATCTTACTGGATACACCACTGTATGCATAACCAGACGCAGAGCCCTGCTCGTTAACAGAGTATTTAACTCTCACGCGTAACACTGAAGTATTGTCCTGGATTACATGACTCTATTAAGTGTACTCATGCAGTTCAATGAATAACGTAAACTGCTCAATTTACTTCTGGCCTCAATTTATACCAACACTGCCTTGTAAAAATCTAAAAATATTACTCTGATGTCAGCACAGGCATTCCTCTTCTGCTAGGCAATAGTTTTCTTTTTTTTTTTTTTCTTTCCTGTCCTGGAAATAAGTAAAGCCTGTGTCATATCCTGCCCATGCATGAAAAGGCAGAGGAGACACATGTTGTGGTTATAGTAAAGACTGAATGGATCATGCACTTTTTCTGTCCAGTACATAAATAATATACAGCTTTATTTTTTGTAGCATGATCATCATTAATAAGACAGAGCTTTCCATACCCAGTTCTAACGGCTGTTTTGTGGTATAGTTGACAAGGTGTACCAGCAATACAGTAGTAATTATTCCTCTGTGTTTTCAAAGAGCTGTCTTTTGGCTGTGATTAACAAAACACACCAAAGTCAGCGAAAACTCTTTGCTGTCACTTCTAATTGTTAGTCAAAATTTGAAAACTCAGTCTTTTCCCCCCACCCTTGTCCCAGTGGTTAGCTGAAAGCTTTCCTAATACGCAGAGAACTTCAACAAGTAGGTACTCACAGCTGCTTTGCTAAACCGATTTTGAAAAGTATTGGTCTATTAACTGCACTTCTGTTGTGTACAAATCATTCTATACAAGAGCGATCAGATATTATTAAATGCAATGTTACTGCCTTTATTTTGCACTAAGACAAAGCTGATGGCCCAGGAAAAAAAAATCAACCTAAAAAGCTTCAGCAACGTTAGTTTCCTCAAACTTTTCTTTGTATAAATTGAGGCCAAAAGTAAATTGAGCAGTTTATGTTATTCATTGGACTGCATGACTGCACTTAATAGCATCACGTAAAAACATCTTCTGAGAGAATCAGGCATCCTCTGTAAAGCAGGTCATTCATTGCAGTAGTTTGATCAGCAAAGAGGAAGAACATAAAGCCACAGATTCTGAAACTGCAGTGAAAATTCTGCCTGGACAACACATTTGTGCAGATGCAGATGAAGTCTTATTACAGTCTAATTATAGGAATACTTCAAGATCTTTAAATACTTGCTCCAGAAACAGTGAAAATCTACACCCTTGGGTCTCTAATACAAGAGCGGCTAGGAGGCACTAATGTAAGGCTGCAGGTTTCACTTCCTATAGCTACAAGGGCTGGCTAGCCTGACTGCAGCAGCTTTTTACCTTTAACCAAGGCAGAATGGCTTTCTATACCATTAAGACTATAGACCTATAGAGCTTACTATCTTGTCTTCAGCACATGGCAGCAGAAGATATACTAAGAGACTAAATTATTGGTTTAATATGATTACCATTAAATCACATATACTTATTGAAACGGAAAATTAACAGCTTAAATAGAGCAAAATTCTAGTTATTTCAGTCCTTTAGCCTTATCAAGACCCAGGTATGGGATTCTTCAAAAGGCTGAGCAAAAAAAACTTTCCACATTATCAACTGGTTCTTAAATAGAGAGGAAAGGTAAAATTCTAAACTATTTAATAGATGAGATTTCTTTTTTTCTCCAGAATCACTAGAACCAGACTCTCTCTTCATCCTTATTTGTCTTGAAGAAAGTTATTAGAATATCCAATGCCACTTCAAAGTAACTAACAGGGCTTAATTTCTCCACAAATTCTACAGGGCGATAAAACTTCATTAATTGTAACAAGCCAGTTGGAAACACAATTTCCATAAAACACATTTCCCACAAAAGCAGATTCCTAAAACAGTGATTTAGAACCAAAATACTTCAGTCCAAAGCATTTTTTTTCCAGTATTTTAAAACAGACTCCTAAAACAGGAGTCTTGAGTAACTCTGCTGGTCACATCATTTTTAGCAATTTTCTGCTTTGCTTCACACAGAAGTACAGCTCAAAGGCAACAAATGATAAAAGTATGAATAAGCAGTTTTATTTCGAGGACTGCATTTATTCTAGAAATAAATTAATTCCCAAAGAAAAGCATATTTTAAAGATCAGAGCAAAAGTTAAAACAAAAAGCTTCAACTTTTATGTCATCAAAATTCAGCTACATTGAAAGCATTTACCTGCTATTAGCTTTTGGAGGGCGCTCTTATCTCCGTTAACAGCAGCAGCGTGCACCTCAGAGGCTAACGAGGAACCATTGAAGAGGCAGCTCGCTGAAACATTCATACTCTTCCGAGATACTATCATAGGTCAGAGCAGAACCAACAACATCTTTGTAGGAATTCAGTTCTAGAAAAGCAATATAATACAGTTGAATTCATATAACGCTACGATTACTAAGGCAATGCTAAAGAGAATAAATTGTCCTGTAAAAAACTAACAGGCAAATCAAGTAACAATAAACATGTTTTACAAGTTAAATGCACCTCAGATCAAAGTTCAACCACACAAAGTCTACATGAAGAATATATATTATAGTTTTGTTGCCTTTAACATGAAATTCAGTCAGTAAGCTTTGCCAAGAGCTGCAAATGGGATAGTGTCTATAAACAAACACACTAATGAGACTGTTCTTCCCAGTGCTGAAAGGTATGCTTCATATCAGTAACAAAGGATACTTTAAATAACTAACACATGGTGCTTGATACATGGTGTTTTTTTACCATAACTGTCTGCAGATATACAGATATAAGGATTATAAGTAGTATCTTTTATCTGAATAACTGCCATTAATGAAAAAGTCAGATCAGTTCTATGACCTTCAAACCTGAAACTGAGGTGGGCAAATTGCACCTATGCAAGCAAAGCCACAGTGGATTAAGCAGTAAAGTCTGGCCTTCAGTCCTGTGTCAGACTCGTCAGTGGTAGATACCAAAGAACAGAGCAACTGATCTGATTTCCCCCTTTCCCAAATACTCTAAATTGCCATCCCTTCAAGCTCAATCACTTCCTGAACTTGACTTGATTTCTGTGCTTTCAGAACTGAACAAGTTCTATTAATTTCCTCAAGGATTTTCTTCTTTATAAACTAACTCCTCCAGCCACCTGTTAAACTTCCTCATACCCAGAACATGCTCCGCTAAGGAGTTCCACAGCACAACAAATACTGCACGGATGAACCTTCAACACTCAGGGCTGAACCCCCTTTCCTTTCATTGATCTGATTCTTGCTCCTGTCTTCATTTGAGGGCCATTAATTCTTGCACTGGAAAGTCATCTGGCAAGCATGCCCATTTCAACCTATCTTTTTTGAACATTTTGCAGATCCACAATATGAACCAGACCTCCACTATGCATTCAAGATACAAGCACAGATTTATACAGTGGAATAATGACTTTCTCTACAACCTTCTCTATTTCATTCTTAAATTATCTGCTATCATTGCAGTTGACTTTTTAGCTACTTTTGAAGTGAAAGTCATTGAAATTTCACTGCCTCAAAATCCTCATAATCATCACTTCAGGCCCACACTATTTCAGACCTGAAGAAGGTCTGCATGTTTGAAAGGTTTTAAATTTTTTTCCCCAACAGCATCAAACAGTTGGACAAAATACAGCACTTCTACCTTCACATCTTACATATTTAATATCTGGAATGGAAAGAAAACTAAAGGAAGCAAACAAGTACTGGGCATGGCAGGAAAAAAATTATTAATAATCTTGCTGTAACAACATTTCAAACATTTCTAGCGCTAGCCACACACTTTCTCTCTTTTTAAAGAAGATAAAAAGGCATCCACAGCTTTCCAAATACTCATGCAGTTCCCTCCTTTCTGAATATCCTCTCCTTTGGTGGAACTGCTTTTTCATTTTTCAGGACTGGCAAGCTCCCTTCCAACCCAGCAGCAGGGCATTTCCTTTCTGTTACATTCCCTATGTAACACTGTAGATAAGCAGATACGGTTCTTCTTATTCAGGTAAGTCTGAACGAAGCAAACAGGACAATATGAAACTGAGCATCAGATACAGCTGCAGCACTTCCCCCTCGGAAACCAAACCTTCCATCTCTCTCTGATCCTGATATTCCTATAGATACATAAAATTGCCTGCTATATAAAAGAAACACAATCAGTATTTAGCTGCAATCTGAACAGGGGACAAGAGGGAGATGGAAGAAGGCTGCAGAACTGGGTCCTGAGGCACATAATTTAACATGCACTTGGCACGCAGGACTACAGCTTCTCTCTAACTCGTCTCCGCCTTTTCCCCAAAAGCTTCATCTGGATACGGAAAGTATGTCAGGAATCTCTATTATAGGCACTGTTGGAATTTGACATTTGTTGGGATTCTGAGGTACTATTTTCATTCTCCCAAATTATTACTGATATCTTTTCTTCTACCTTTACTTTTTCTCTGTAGACTTTCCTCTAGCTTTCATTCCAGCTGATCTGGAAATTCACTCTTGGAAGCGATTTCTTCAAGACTTGTCTATTTACTGTATCTGAATATTCTGGACAGCCCACTAAAATAAGTAAAGTTTTCTGTTCCTATTTCTTGTACTGCCTGGGGTCTGTCTATAGCCTGGAGTTTCCAATAGGATTAAAACCCAAGTTCTTTCTCATGCATAGATATCCACTCTGTGGATAAGTGTCATTTGGCTCTGACACAGTTGAATCTTCATGTGATCAAACAGAACTAAGCAAAGTAGCTCCAAACAGAAACTTAGTAAAATGAATTTAAAAGCACATGAGCTAAGAACTAGCTGTTTAAACACAAACCAGAATTTGATTTTTTTTATTATTTTAGGGGAAATCTACAACACTTCATGGAGAAGGATGTAAGGGATTAACACCCTGGGAAGCACAAAACATTGATTAAATCCTGATGTGAAACATGGCTTTAATTCCAAGGTAAGGTTCACATCAACTTGGAAACAGAACCAGCAGCAACAGTAGCTGAAACATCTGTGCCAGCAAAGCTTTGTTGGTATTTTGGTATTGGTATTTTGTTGGTAAGGTTTTATATATAAAGAGCTATGAGAAAAAAATGCAATTTTACCTACCATATCTCTACCACTGTTACTAAAGAGTTTAAATAGCAAATAAATATTTATTTTTTGTAAATCGCAATTTTGATAGCCCCTACAGAGTCACCACATGAAGAGGAGAAATAACATAATCACTCTACTGCACGCCTCAAGGTGCATAAATAAGCCATGACATAAACCCTTTAGGGGTTTAGTAAAGTAAAACCCAGCAAAAGCTGCAGATCTTCATACAGCATCAGAAGCAACCCAATTATAAATCAACAATAATACAAATCTGGCTGCATACAGAAAAGAAGGATGATCTTAACTTATGGATAGAAAAAAAAAAAAGTCATATCTGTATAAAGGGCAAATAGTTCTACAGCAGGGGAGAAGAAACCAATTACCTCCAGAACAATTACCTACCACCTCCAGGACAGAATGATATCTCCATTTAAAGGTCTAATAGTATTTCAGAATTTCTCTAATCCTTATAAAATGTCTTACATTCCTCTGATTCCTTATAAAAGAAAAAATCATAATTGCCTTTAGGCATTTCTCTCATACATATGATAAAAAGATAAACTGATATCTAGCTTGATAAAGTTCCTCATCATCAACAAGTTGTGTCATTTATTTATAAGGGATGAAAAACAACCATGAAAATTAAGGGAGAAAAGAATACAGGGTCCATTTACAAAAAGGTACCTAATTGGCATTAACCATAATACACATTATACTACTGGAGTCAGATAAGTAATTCACACTTTCATTTTCAGGCTAACTTGCAGAGAAAAAAGAATAGTCTCATTAATACACCTAAAATACAAGGACAGTCATATGACGGACCAAGGGGGCTTCAAAGTACGTGAATTTTCATGCTGAATTATGATACCTCTACTTGGCATTGCGTGTAATTGGATAACTGGAATCGCACCATCTTAGTTTCCAGCAACCGTTAAACTCTAAAGTTGCCAAACTCTAAAGCAATACGGCTGCTGTATCAAATTTTATGGCTCATATGAAAGATAACAAAGAATTTACAAGCGTGAACATATTCAGGGTGTTCATTTCACAGACGAAGGACTGGAGACTCCTCACGCAGAGCCGATCAAGCCAGGGGCTACTCCAGCCTGTAAGAGAGGGCTCCTGTATGCCCAGCTGCGCTTACCTCAGGAAAACGGTCGGCCAAAGGGTTTTCCCGAGGCTGCCCGTGGAGTGGAGCCCGTGCCGGCGGCACCCGGAGCGGGCGACAGAGGATTCCCCTCGACGTTTCCCCCGTGCTCTGTTTCAGTCCCCAGGCAGGGGCTGGAAACGGATACAGCGGGAAACGGGGATCTCATTCGGAAAGTTCTGCGAGGTCTCAGGCGTGCACTGCAAGCTCGAAAGCTTCTAACGCTCAAAAAATAATACTGAAAAAGGAAGAAAGCGACAGCATAAGTGTTCTGCCTCTGAAATATTTGGAGCTTAGTGTGAAAGAAGGAAAAACGTGTTTGCTCGTGTGGTGACGAGCCACGACCACGCTCAGCTTTAGCAGGCTGCTGGGCTGCGATTTGAAGGCGCTCCCGAGCCGCTCCCTCGCGCAGGCAACGTCCCCCGCTCCAGCCAAGCGCTCCCACCGCGTTCCCGCCGCTCCGGGAGCGCCCAGACCCGCTCGTGCTCCCACCTCCACGCGCCCCGGCGGCCGCGCAGCCGCCTAACGGAGGCCCCAACGGTCGCGGCGGGACGTTAAGCGGCGGCGGCGACGCCACTTCTCCCGCCGCGGCCGCACCGTCCACGCGGGGACCGCGGAGCCTCCGGGCGCCTCGCTCGAGGCTCGCGCCGCCTCCCCGCCGGGCCCGCGACCCGCCGCCTGTTGGAACCAGCGGGGCGGAACTCGCGGGGGCGCCGCGCGTGGGGATCGCGCTACCGGCGACCCCCGCAGAGACGGTTAATCCCGCAGCGGGGCCGACCCGCAGCGCCCTCCTTCTCCCCCGCCCGCCCGCAGCGCGCGGCGGCCGCGCCCCGCCGCTCACCGTCCCACCGGCGGCCCCGGCGCCTTCCGGGCGGCCGGGACTACGTTTCCCGGCGTGCCGCGG